TAGCTCCAACTCATGCCATTAGATATGCTTGCTCAGAGTCAACTGAGTTTTTCCCTAATCCTGTTTATGCTAGTCGTATTTATTATAATTATAACATTTAATTTAGTATGTCAAACACTAGTAAATTTACCGTAAAAAATCAGTTATTGTTTCTACAAGACCTATGTTATTTCCATGAAAGATTTCAAGAAGGCAATTCCCTAAAAAACTATTGTCAAATTAAGGGTAGTCAAGACAACCAGAAGAGTCAGGGGCATGGGATATAAATAATCTAGAAGGTGCTAGATCTTGGATACAATAACAATATACCTTTAACAAAATGTCTTTCGAAATGCAAATCATAGACAATGCAGAGTGAGTATGGTTTGCAAGAAAAATAACACAAAACTCCACATTGACGATTCATTTTCAAAGAAAGGTTTGTTGCTACATCAAAAAGTTGGTAAATAAATGAACACATAAGGGTTTTGTGTTAAAATGAAATGTTAAAATAGCTTTCTAATAGATCTTGATGAGAACTTTATTTTTGAAGATTTCTACCACTGTTTTGCATAGTGCTATATACCTTAAAATTTGAATTTTAAAATGCTGTCTAACCTTTCTAGGTTATTTCTGTGTGAGATTAATTATTTAAAATACACCTGTCATTCATATCCTTTTAATGAATGTAATAATAAGCAAAGTGTTATGAAATTTATTCTAACCTGCAGTACTCTGCATGATTTGATTTAAAAGTGTCTATGGAAGAAAATTCCAAGAATTTCTCTTATTAATTAACCACTAAGTAAAATAACTACATTATATGAAAAAAAAAAAAAAACATTTATCAGACACTGACACCCAACTGTCCTTTACCTGCTTCTGGAAGGTTTGCACATAAGAAAATAGCCAAATGGCTTGAATGGTTCCCACTGTTCACCTCCTGACTGGTTCACTCACAAACTACATATACACACCTAACATTCAATCTTATTTTCAGCCCACAGTTCCCACATCCGAGTGTCTACCTCCCCGTGTACACTCGCATCGCTTAAGGGACCAAGGCAATGCTTTCCTATGATGATAACTGATAACCAAGGAACAAAAGATCTCCCTTCCAGTTGTAAAGCCATTTCAGAAAGAAAGATAGGTGTTGGGTGACTTGGCTATGTGATCTTAGGACACAATGTGACCTCTTATGCCTAAATCAATTATTTTGGAAACAAACAAAAAGCTACTTATACCTATGACTGATTTCATTTACATTATGAATATCATATATGATAATCTTGATGTCTATCTACCAACTCTTTAAAAAAATAATCAGATAGATGTATAGGATCGAACTCCTAAAAGTTTAATAAAGAATCTTAACAGACTTAGCAGGACTTTGAGAGACCCACACTTGGAGAAAACTTGGAACTGTTAAACTACAATGATACAAGTTAAACTAGTTCCACTGAACTGCATCTGGACAAGGTGATGTTTCAACAGTCTGAAGCTGGACCTCTAAAGCAAGGAGTTCAAAGCGTTCACCATGAGCGGTGCCAGGCTTCACGACAGCATCAATGGCTCAAATTCACAAAGAGTCAGAAAAGGTAGAGAAAAGCAGACCCTGAACGAAAGCTTTTCATCATAGCCACAGAAACAAATGTTAGGAAGGAAATGGAAAATTTCCTTCCTAACATTTGTTTAATTGTGTGCCTTAATGATCAGTGAAAATGAAAGTAAACAAATAACATAATGCCACATATCTGTAGGCATCAATTTCTTCCAATTTTGGATAGATCTGAACGAAACGCTGTCGAGCAAGAGTATAAACAGATTTTCATGTAGAACTCACCATAGAAGTGGCAATAGTTTTATCTCTGCCTTCATTTTCACAATAAAACAATATCTTACTAACTTTGTAGCAAATGTGGACGATCTAGAGAAATTTGTTTAATTGGTCCATATATATTTATTGAAAGATTAATCTGCCATTCTATAATGGCGAATTAAATGCATATAAACCCTGTCCCCATGGAACCCATTATGTGGTAAGTGAAGTGGTTATTTAAAACACACATATACATATATGTGACTCTTAAAAATTGTGTTAAGAACTATAAAGAAAAAGAGCAGAGAGGGTGATACAGTTGGCAAGTCAAGGGCATGACATTTAAGCCAACACTTGGGTATAAGAAGGCTGGTAGACACAGTGCTTATCTGAAAGGGAGAGCGAGACATTCCCCAAACCAATTAATACCCCTTATATTAAAAAAATAATTCTTATTAAATATTAGCAGCAATCTAAAATGTAGTTTTTAGGATTAAAGCCTATTCTTATCAATATAGCAAATGCAATTTTAGAACAAATGATAATTATTATAAATACAAAAATTTTTCTTGATATTATGAAACTGAAGAATTTCATTCATCATGTAGATAAATCCCAAGTAACAAATTAAGATGATATATGGATATATTACCAAATTAACTGCTCTTAGAATTTGTTTTTAAGATGATGACTTCAACAGTTACTACACTTACAGCTGAGATACTTGTAAATACACCACTCTTTTTCGGCTGGCATGTGAGATTTACTTTTATTTATTTATTTTTTTTACTGATTTCCTCTTCATTATTTGACCACAATTTTATGTCCCTCCCTAAGTTGTAAAAAAGGCAACTTTATAACTCTAGGAAGGGTTTGGGATGTGTTTCCATTACTTTTTCTGGGTTCGATCCCACAGAGCTCACTTTACAGGTAAAATGGGAGACTTCTTCTGTCCACTTGCTCGTTCTCATCTTTGTATCAGGCAGGGCTTAGTCCCTGCCGTGAGCGCTGGCCTCACCACTGCCTTCTCTCTCACATCCTTCTGGCGCTGTCTTGCTCTTTCCTTCCTGCATCCTGACCCCACTTTCTCTGCTGACTGCATTCCTAAATCATTTCCCCCTTATGTATTTGTTTGCCTTTGAGGGATCCTGGATTCGCAATCTGCCATTAGTTTAAGAGCAAGAGAATACATGATCTGCAAAGTTGTCAGTGAAAATGAGAACTAGACGATCTGCCCTCGTTCTAGTGAATACACCTGAAAAGGCAAATGGAGCATCCCGAGTTCATTCCAGAACTCCTACATATTCATCTTCTCAGGTTCCCTTTTTTCCTGAAGAGTTTATATACCTTAAGTGCAGTAAGAATATTATGAAAAAGGAAAGAAGATGGATATAACTCGTAAATTACCATCTGCTTAAGTACCTGATCATTTGGTAGCTAATGATTTAAGGGGTTTTTGTTTTGTTTTGTTTTGTTTTATCTGCCTAAAAACCCATGTAGAGATCAAATGGTAAGATTTTTGGTGACTGAATTAGAAACATGAATATAAAAGCTCAAACATCAAAACTTTTTCTAAGGACTTTCAAATAAGGTTATACAGGAGGGAACTTAAGACCGGCCTCTAAGAGCCAGTGTTGTTATTCCTGCTTCATTCTGTATGTGAATTCATGTCAAAACACAGAGTGGAATGCTATTCTGAACACCTACCGTAAAATTATTCCTATGAAATTATGTAGTGTTTCTATGGGCCAGGCACCATTTTCAGTGAGCTTTACTCACAGTGATTCATTTAGTCCTCACAACCCTAAAAAGTGGGTATTGTCATATCCCTATTTTACCAATGAGGACAGTGCAGATGGCAAAATTTAGCCATTTGACCAAAGTCATTCAATGAGCAAGTAGCAGAACCAGGAATTTAACTCAAACAGTCTGATTCTAGAGCCCATTTTCTTAACTTCTCAGCCAAACCATAATGCTTTTCTAGAATCTTCTGCATCTCCTATACAATCGAGGAAGTCAATCTTTGCCCCTCAGAAAGGGCTGAAATCGTAAGAGGTCAGATAGTTATGCCGGAAATCTTAAAGTGATGCCAGAACGATTGCCAAGTATGTGGCAATATACCCCGCCTCTGACAGGCATTATTGGGACTGAGAAAAGCCTGGAGTCACAGCTCTTTTTGTCCCTTGATAAGAATGTCACCCAGATGAGTCCTCAATTTCTTAGCCCATCAGCCGCTTCCTGAGTCTCAAAGTTGTTTTATATAAGTGAAAGTGTCTTATAAACTGTAAAACCATTATTACGAGGCAAAACAAAGTAAAACAATCAATTCAGGTGTCTCTCATTCATTCCTTCTCTCTGCCTCTTTTTCATCCCCGTGGCCAGCAAGTCCTTTCAGCTTTTAGTTCCTCTCTGTGTGGATATCACAGGAATATTATCAGCCGGCCTCTGGGTTTTTCGCCTCTTGTGAGGCCAGCCTTTCCCGCACAGTGTTGCCATATAAACCTTCCTTGAACAGTATTTTCTTCACAATGCTTCTAAATCTGTGCTAACGCATTTCTTACCTGAAAGTAGAGTCTACTTGAGAGAAAATGGTGAGAAACAGTACTGATGACTCCTTTTCTGAATTCGACTCTAAAAAACTCCGTTATTACCTTCCAAAATCACTTTCCTTTTTCTTTTAGAGAACACATTACTCCTAAACTGCTCTCTAAATGTGGCCTATAGTCCAAATGAAGATAACACTGACCCATTTATTACCACACAGCATCTTAACTCCTCCCAATTTCCCATGAGTGTTTATGACCCCCATTTCTTTGCTAGGTCATCTGCCCCTCCTGTCAGACCTCTCTCCTCTGTCATGCATTGGTCCTAATCTTTGTTTAGAATCTTTCTCTGAGCAGAGCTTTCTCTCCCTTTAAGTCCAACTTAGCTCAAATCTACCTCCTACACAAACCTTTCTAACTACACCACCCTTACTGATGCCCTTCTCCACACTCACAGAAAGGGGTAGGTATAAATAACAGCTTGATTTACTTTTTTGGCATTTCCCTTTCTACAAATAAATTTGAGCATCTTTTTCAATATTTATTAGTTATTTATATTTGCTATTCTGTGAACTGTCTATTCACCTCTTCTGAAGACCACTGATCTTTTTCTATGTTAAAGAGCTATTCTCAGAAAGAAATCTAACTATGGGAGGTGAATGCACAGTGTAAATATATGTGTGTGCCTTGCTGTTAAGGTGTACAGCTGAAACTTACTGGATTTCGTTAACCAATGTCACCATAAAAAATATTAAATAAATAATGAAATAAAGAGCTATTCTCAGACATTCCCTTCTCCTTTTAAACTCTAACTTATTTAATTTAGTTCAATCATTTAATTTTATTTGAATTTTTTTAAAGCCTGTTTGGATCCTAACAGGAATTGCATGAGATTCTAAAAATTAATATTGGAAGAAGTGACATTTTTAAAATATTGAGTATTGAGACTCCCAAGAGAATAGTAGGTCTTTTTATTTGTTCAGATATCATTTTATATTTTTCAGTTAGATTTTTAGTTTTTCTCATTTACATTTTCCATTCTGAATTAAGACATTTGCAACTCGAGAATGAATATTTCAAAGCTGAAAACACTGTAAATGTATGCAACTTACTGTTTGATATCATTATTGACTTGGCAAATGTTATCTTTTTCTATTGAAAGAGTTTACATTTTCACACAGTCAATCATACCTAACTATTCTTTTATAGCTTCTGCATCTCTGTTCTCATTTAAAAACAGCTCTGTTGTTCCTATTTGGTATATACAGTCTCCTGGATTTTCTTTTTTAGATTTTTAAATGATTTTATTGTTTACATTCACATATTTAATCCATCTGGAATTCATTTTTTATGTGGTTTAAGATTCAGGTCCAATTTTATTTTTACCCTGATAGATGGCCAGTTATGTCAGCACCATTTATTAACTAATCAGACTTTTTCCCACTGACTTGAACCAACACTTTCATCATATATTAAATTCTTATTCATACTGGAATCTATTTCAGGATTCCCTATTCCATCCTACTGATTATTTTATCTTTTACTATACCAATCCCATATTGATTTAATTCCAGTGGTTTTATATTATGTTATGGTAACTCATAATTTAAGTTCTCCTTTACTGATCTTCATTTTCATATTTTTAAAGGCTATTCTCAGGCATTTCCTTTCCATTCAAACTCTAAGATCATTTTATCCATACTTTAAAAAAAAAAAAAAAAAACCTGTTGGAGTCTTAATCGAAATTGCATGACATTTATATATTAATTTGGGAGAACTGAAATTTTTATCTATTGAGAACTTCAACCAAAAATACGGCATGTCTTTATAGTTTTTCAAATCTTGTTTTATATTCTTCAATAACATTTTAAAGTTTTTTCATTCTCATCACTTTTCTAGCTCATGATTAAAGCATTTAAAAAAGGAGAAAATTAGTGTTTTTATTAATTAAATTATTAATTAAATTATTTTTATTAAATTAAAATTTGCATGCGTGTGTACCTGTGTGTGTGTGTGTGCATGCAGACAGACAGACAGAGATCTTATTTTGTGGTATAACTATTGCTAAATAATAGAAATCCTGGGAAATGTGACAATATAGCTAGACTTATCAGAAAAGGTTAGGATTTGAGCCAAGAGAAAAGAAAACTCTGTTTTATGCTTAAATTAGACTTACTTTTTCCCTTGCTGGAATTTTTAATTGTTGTAATCCTATCTGAAATGGTTTCAGAAACATATCTTTGCATAATCTCACGATTAAAGATATTATCTAAAATGAAATACTTTTCTGTGTTAAGAGGAACAAAATCTCTGAATAAAAGTATAGAATCATCGCTAGAGTCTTACTTGACTAGAAAGTTTAGAAGCTTCCACAGCATGTTCAAAATCTGGTCTTCCAATTACAGCAGGCTCTTTATCCATCACTCCTTGCCCTTTCTTGTACTCTGCCTAAAATGAATAAATAAGAAAATGTTAAATATTTCTACTTTCCAATGAAGAATTACATTGGCATTAGCCAAATAAAACACACAGACCTTGAGTCCGTAAAAAATACTCCTTACAACTCACCAAATACTGAAATGTTGACCACTAAAGTGAGAATTGATTTCATAGTCTGGTTATTTAAATAAACTCAATTTTTTGCAGTAATATAATTACTAATTTCAAGTCATAGATTCTGTCATTATCTTCATTAGGCTTATAAACATTAAACAAAAATTAGGGGGAATTTCTGGGTAATTGAGACCCTGCGCGCTGCATACAGATGGCTTTCATGGCCTTGTTTAGTCTCAGGAACTGATCTAACCCTGTTAGATTAATACACTGTTGAATTTAGGAAATAATTACTGATTTTTAAGGTGATGAAAGCTCATGTTCTTCAACTATTCGGATCAAGTTAAGTCATTATTTTTAACCAGGGTTTTAGGTATGTTCAAGTAAAAAGGTATTAGCCAAGGAGGATGCCTTAGAGAAGATAAGAAACAGCCATGATGTGTAGGACACACACAAGGGTAAATGTTGGCAGAAGAGAATCTGCACAATTAACAGCGGCAAGATAAGAACATGGCCAAGTGAAGTTCTTTGGTGAGGTTAAGAGAGAATATGGGTCCAGATGACTGAGAACCTTGACTTTCGAGCTGGGACATTTGACTGTTATCTTATACCCAAACAGTACTTATTGCTCTAAAGGTACGATAATACTAGCCATAGTCAAGTTAAGTTTGGGTAGCTTCTACATATACCTGAATAATTTACATAGTCAAATGGATAACTCAGAAAAAACTGAGATGTCATTAATTCAGATTGATTAATTTTATTCTTTAAATTAACTATCCAACTACCAAAGCCATGCTTTGTCTCCTGCAAAAATAAGAAATCATTTCTGCTCAAGATAAGAAAGTGAGCTTACATTGCTTATGATCCTAGAGATCTGCGTTGCCATCTTGATGTCTGGTCTGTCGAGCTTCGCGTTATACACGTGGGTATCCTGCATATCTTTTCTATAAGAAATCTGAGCAAAGAGACAATTTTGATTGAAAAAAAGAAATTAATGATTTCATATTACTACTAGTCTTAATGTTCATAATATTATTTTTCCTTGCCTTAATCACCTTAGAGAGCCCAGTGACTATACAGTTTTTCTAAAAAATTTTATGCACAACATTTATTTGGACAGATATATTCTCTTTTTATGATACCTATGCCTCACTAACATTATAACATATGAACTGACTTTATACAACATAAGAAATATGAGCCCAAGACCTTGGCACAAAACTAGTCTTATAGGAGTTTACATATACCACCCTCATAAGCGGGTCACAGTATACAAGTGTGTATGCACATATTCATACACACAGTATCCTCATAAAAGGCTTTAACATGCCCATCACAGTCTCTACCCCCGGTAGATGCAGGATAAGCCCCAGCACATGAATACAGAAAATCACTTCCAGGGGTTAGTATATGCGAAGATATATAACTCTCCGGCTTTCATCGTCCCCATCACACCCTTCTCCCCTTTTTCTGACCAGGCTCTCCAAATGCCCATGTCTGAGAAGCCTAGTCATGGGTACCGATAGTTTTATTACCCAGTATATGTCATTGCAATGACTTTATCCTCCCAAAATAAAAGCAATTACATTAAGGAATATTCATCCCCTGAATGCACACTAGATACAATCAAATCAAAGTGTGGAAAATAAAGACTTAAATTTATATATATATAAATTTTGCAAAATGTACTTTAGATGACAGTGGTCATCTAGATTAACTCAACTGACAAATGGGATGAGAAACCAGATGAGCCACTTCTCTATTTCTTGAGATCAGTCATGGGTTGAAAGAATATTTAATTTCCCAGATGCAATTCTATTAAATAATATCACCAAAGGCTGGTCAACTTGTCCATTATATTATATTTTATTAAAGTTACAATGCAAACGATATGGCAACTGTTTCAAAAATGACACCATCTTTATTTTCTCAAGGTACAGAAAGATGGAACACACAACGAATATTTCTAATATTACCTGCAAATGTCCTGCAATAGCATCATCTGGGTTACTTATTTAAAATTTGGATTTCTGAGGTCTATCCCCGCCCCTCTGGAACGGAATTTCAGTAAACGGGCCCTAGAATCTGTATTTTAATGAATTCCCCAGTTGACCACTGTGAACCAGTATTCTAGATAATTCAATATATCTTGTTATTTCTCTTTCAACCTTGCAGAGTTAAAACAAACAAACACTGGTTCTTTCTTTTTTCAAAAATAATATCAAGTATAAGACATGATAATGTATTTAAACTTCAATAAGTACCCTATGCATTATATTATTTCAATGAAACATTTATATACATCTCTGTTTACTTCTAAGACCTTTTATTTGCCTCACTATCAAGACTATTTTTTTCAACTTGTTCATAATAATGAACCTGTCTGACAAATGAACACAGCTTAAATACAATTAGCATAATTTCAGCAAGAATATCTATTTCTTCAGTATTTCTATTTTTATAGGCTTTACCTTAACAAGGAACTTCAGGTACATTTTGTGTGCATGCAGGTAACAAAAGGAACATAAAAATAAGCTGAAAACTGAGTTATTTTGTTGGGTGGATTTGAAAGCTTTAGGGATTTAGAATAAACCAATTTCATTGGCTTCAGAAAGCAACACACTCACCCACAAACGATAGCCAATCAAACGCAGCCTACACTGAGTTAAGTACAAGCTGTGTAAACAAACAGCAACTCTCAGGTGAAAACAAACCAAAATTATTACCCACCGACAAGACTAGCTGTTTCTAAGTTACTACATTCATATGAAAACCATAGGGAGGGCATGTCTTTTTGTTTAGAAAAGAATGAGGGTAAAATGGAAACCCTTACTTTCTGAAAAGAGCTGCAACCTTTCAGAAATCTAAGCTTTCCGTGGGTTACCTAATTATATGCTGTTCGGCCTAATGACGGAGTGAAGAGAGGTGAGCAGCACAAAGCCAGCGGGAGCAGGACTTGAATAGGGCCCCGTCAGCCATGTAAATTGCAAATTAGAGGCCGGCATATGTGACTCAAAACAAATATTAAGATTGACGTGAGCTGCAGATTCAAAGAAGGGGACACCACAGAGCCACACAGGAGAGAAGCACAGGAGCCTGGTCACTAGCCCCATCTTCCGGAGCGTCATTGCTTGGGGACAGTTCACAGGAAGGGGACACTGAGCGCAGCAAACTCTTGGTTTTCACTATTTGCAAGGGTGTCTGAACATAGGAGGTCTGATGATGGGGATCATTTTCCTCAGTTATTCTTTTATAGTAGACATGTGTTCATATTTTTTAGCTGCCTAGCATTTTTTTTTTTTTTAATTTGAGAATTGCCCCTCCCTCTACTCCACGTGGTTTGGTGGGGCTATCAAATGCAGCCTACCTTCCTGGTGACAGGATTGGCCATGTGACAGGCTGTCCAATCAGATACCCCACCCCCTTGGAAACTATGATGAATCAGAAGGCAGACACACAACCCAAACAAAGCCAGAGTCGGCTGAAGGACGTGAGGCTGGAAGAGAAAGAGCTGCTGTAAAAAATGATTTCATTTTGGAAATACCAGCTGTCATCTTGAGACCACCTAGACAGAGTCCGTCTGCCAGTGAAGTCACAGAAGCTTGCAGAGTCAAGAGATGGGGGGAGAGAGAGGGGCACTGGAGACACTGTGGAGCTTCTGGATCCAGCTACGCCTGAAGGTAGCCCGAATTTTCCAGTCATGCAAGCCAATAAATCATTGTTTTTTTCCTTGACCTAACATGGGATGGATTTATCTCACTAAATACAGGAACTCCCGACTGAACTGCCTCCGTTTCGTCTGTTTCACTGTGGCGTCCAATATGCTCTTCATTGCCTCCAGTAAAGATATAACCCTATAAAGATCTGCTGCTGAATTTTTTCCTTATCTCACCATGTTCACTTTCCCCCTTGGCTTCTTTTTTCATCTCATTTTGTCTTCCAGTCTTAGTTGTTCTCTCCTTAAAGCTCTCTACTTCTGTTTCATAAGGCCATAAATGTTTCCTACACTGATGCAAAATGTCCAGCAGGCCAGGCACTGTTCCGAACCCTTTACACACATTAATTCACTAAGTCCTCACCCTAGTCCTGTTGTGCCGGATTATCTCACCTGGGCTCCATCGACGCACCTGCCCAATGGAACTTGTTATCCAGAATCCTCTTCCTTGTATTGTTCTGGGTTAGACTGGGCCAATAAGTGACTCATTCAATTTTAAAGGCAGAAGTGAAATGGATGCCATTTTTCTCTGCGCACAGCCAGACATGTAGGCAGACAAAGGATTCTCAGTGACTTTTCAGCAAGTTTTTCATATTTAGGAAACAGTAATTTGAGATTCCTCAGTAGGTGAATTAATAAACTAGAGAGAAGCAAAACCTCCACCAAGATTGCCCTTCTGGTAAAATTCAAGCACTTAGAGATGTGAAGATTGAGAGCTGAGGGATGGCAGCCAGACAGAGAGACAGACAGACACCTATGGGGGCCAAAGGCAGTCCAAGCAGATAGACTTAAATCAAATCCAACTGGCCCTTTGCTACTCTGACGAAGGTCAACATGGTTCTTAGTGGGAAGAAACTAGAGAGGATATATATCTTTTAAGTTTGTGGGAAAGAAGCGAATAGTATTATCTGTATTTAGGTACAATCTTGGCACACCAGTTTGGTCATTCTCCAGAAACACTTTTATCATCATAAACTCTCACACTAGGAAGCTCTCAGGGCATCATCAAAGAGGCACATGAAATTCTATCTTAGGCTTATTTCTGTCTGGGCATACTGTATGTAAAAAAAGACTAAAGTATTAAATTGTAAATATTATTTTTATAAGAGAATACAAGCCTTTTAAGTATAAGTAAATGGAGGATCTGATAGTCATCAGAAGACAGAACAGTTTTCAATCTAAAAGTCGGAGCTGTATCTAGAACAGTTCATCATTTTTATTACTGTCGTTTTTAAAAACATTTGGGAAATGATCAAGTTTTCTTATTCATAATTTAATTCTGCCAGAACCACAAGCTGGTGAAGAAGGCAGAACCGATATTACCAACCTGTCTTAGAGATGAACAAAATACTAATATATCCATTTTAATACCATATCCTAAAAGAACTATTATTCTAAGTCACATCAAGGAATCACATATCCCATAAATGTTTTCCTAGTATCATCTTACTGATTCATCTTTAAGCTTTTTCACTTTCTGATGGAACAGAAAATTTATCTACTGATAAGATTTTATTAACATTAAGAAAGTACATATATCATTTTTGAAAAGAACATTGAATCTCTTGTTTTCCCTGCTGAATGCATCTTTCTAATGCACATTGAATTGATTACCAATATGGTGTTTTAGAAAAGTTTACCACTCTTATTTCATGACAAGTCTATACAGACCACATTACTTATAAGATGTAAAATGGTAGTTTAAAATTTGACTTACTTCAGAACCATTGGACTTCATGTCTCTGGTAAGATTGATGAGTACTACTAACATTACCAAGGTTTCCATTACAAGCTCATCTTTAGGGAAAAGCAGCAGGATAAAATACCTCCAGTTCCTCTAATTACATTAGAAAATTTGGCAGGGGTGCATCCCTTAAGATCCAAAAGGATTTAGATTGGCTCTTTTAATCATTTTTTGATTAAAGCATCAACAAGATGGGTAGTTATATGGGTTTGGGAACCTTTCGAATGTGCCCTTCTGCCTTAAATGCTTCTTAATATAAATTTCGTATTGATTTGGCCTGTTCATAAAATCTTAATTCTTTTTAATTGTTTCGAATTAAATTTTAAATCACCCTTTAAAACTGGAGGGGGATCAAATGGGACTCATATTTTAAGGAGTGGTTCTCCTGCAGAGCCTTTTATATATATATCATCTTAGATAACATTTGCTAGAACTCTAATGAGATAAAGATCACTGACCAGTTTTACATATGGAAAAACTGAGATTTGAAGTTGTCAGTCACTTGTCCAAGGCCACGCAGGCAGCACGCGGCAAAGCAAGCACTTTAACCCTAGTCTGACTCCAAATTCCTTTTCTGTTATATGCCACAGAGGAGGATATTCTTAGAAATATATTTTCCCTGTTTCATGATCACTGAATTTGGGGGTGATAAAAGAGACTACTGCCCCCCACCCCGAATACTCTTCCCCTTGGAACTATCCATTACTCAGAGGCCGGTCACAAAGAAGCCTGTCCCCACTCTCGTCTGCTCACTCGCATCTCTAAAGGAGAGAAAGATTGTGAAAGAGAAAGCGTTCCTTTTGGCTCACAGCTGAGAGTTCTAATAACAGGTCTGAGTGGAAAGGAGGCAGAAACGAAGGCTTTGAGTAGTCGACTCAGTTTCTTGGGTCTCTAACAGATATGAGAAAGCCGACTTGATTTGGATGGAAGCCTGAAAAGGTGAAAACAGAGATGCTGTCTTGCACTGTCTCTAGGTAAGTCGGAGGCACCTGTGACGACGCATTTGGTTTCAAATGAGATTACGTCCTTTATAGGCTTACTGCAAAGTGACATTCCACATTATGAAAGGGTAATCCCATTAGGAAATTCTCTGCGAATGAATTTCGTTAGAGTGAAGTTTTAAGGGAAGCAAGTTTTGTCTGCCTCATCGACCGAACCCCAACATAGATGTACTTCTTTCCTTGTGGCTTTCAAAACCTCCGTCAAATTTCATATGGTAGGGACAATGAATGTATTATTTGAAGTGCCTTGACTCCAGAGGAATATCAACTACTTCACAGGTAGAATACAAATATCCTCTCACTTCAAATCTGAGCAAATAGTCTTAAACACTTTCTAAATCCTATTATATGTACAAACTCAGCACGTAAAGGTTGAGCTCGGTAGGCAGAGGAGTATAAGTAAATACGTCCCTTTCCCCATAGGTACACAGTATTGAATATAGGCGAAAAGGGCTTTGTACGCTATTCCCTCAATCCCTCAATCAAAGACCTTTTAAAAGAAAAGGCGAACCTAAAATAATAACTGCAGTTCTGCAATGAGGAACTTCTGTATTTGGATTTCATTGCATTACAGAGTGAGAAAGGGCCCCCAGAGGAGTCCACGTGACGCCAGCCCCGTCCCCCGCACACTGCCACCTTCTTGCGTGCAATGCGCTGGAGCCATTGGTCTGAATTCTAACGATAACCTGTTCTGCGTGCGTTTAAAATTTTCATTTAAAATCTTGACCAATAACCAGTGACCTTTAAAAGGGAGGCAGCAGGGGCTAACAGAAAGAGCCAACTAGAGGCTTTGATTATTTAGTCTCATTTTCCTCATCTACGAAATGGGAATTGGTACAGGATTTTGTGAGACTCGGAATGATCAAAGTCTCAGCACAGTCCTAGTACACAGCGATGCTCGCTAAGTGGCAGTCATTATAATTATTATGGTCATTCTGTAAGCAAACTGTTCTTATAAAGCGTCCCCTGAAAATGACCTTGCTGGTAATGACAGACATAGAGTTTCCTCATCTCATCAATCTCAAACCATCTTAGAAAAGTGCTTTGGTATTGGCATCTGTTTATACATTTGGATTAAAATGTAAAACTTCACTCAGTTTTTACTGAAGCATTGACCCTACTATAATTCAATATCAGATTAACTGCTGTCATCTTGCAAAGGACACTCTGCACAGCTGGGGCTCTGAGGGCACAGAGCCTGCAAAGCATCATTCAGTAAGAGAACTAAGTGGTGGGACAAGACCCTGTGTGAGATGACCATGACGGTTCAGGTCATTTTCTAAGAAGGCAAGTTTCTTCACCCAACTAGGATAGATACTTTATCTTAACCGATTCTAACCCACACCTTGACAAACAAGTCCTGTGTTCCTTCTAGAGAGCAGAGGATTTGTGAAGGGGAGAGAGATAAATAAGCTTTCTCTAAGATTTCAGGAAGACATTTTTCTTCCAGGCCACCAGGAGAACGACGACAAAAGAGCAAACACATGAAAGCTCTGATGTACTTGCTAACTTAAAACCAAAGAAGAAATTCATCTTCTACAAACTCACTTCCGCCCTCTTGGCTTCTGCTTCCAAGCCAACCATTACTCATCTACTGCTTTTCCATTTGCCATGAGTCTTAACTGGACACCTCGCTCCCCGCCAGCGTTCCAAAAGAAACATTAGTGGGGTATGATCTCACTAGCATCTGTGAAGGATTCTTCCCCGGGCCATTGATTTTCAATGCACTTTCCCCCAGTTTTTCTGCAATCCTAGACTGGAAACCACGGGAGCTTCATCATCAAGTCAAGGGATTCCTGAGAAATATTAATAACCCAATAGATCCACAGTATTCATCTGTTTCGTTCAAAGCAGAATTTCCAAGGCCTGCAAGTGACCGACATTTTAAAAGCGTTCCACCAGATTTTAATTATTCTGTTAACAGAATAATTCAGATGTACTTCGGACTGAATACGGAAAATAAAAATTAAAAAAAATTTTAAGTTCTTTTTGAATAGCAGTGTTATCACATTTAAATTTCAGCAAAATATGCATTAGCCTTGATTTGGGTTAAGCACGATTTCCCAGAAAATCACGTGGAACGGCTTCCTTACATTACTCTGGTATTTATTAACCTCCATGGCGTGTTTGATCTCCGGTGGCTCCTTCATATGGGCGTAATCTGAGAATCCTTTGGCAGCATCGTGTTTCTGCTTGTAGGCAATCTTAAGAAAAAACACACACACACACACACAATCATAGGCATGGCTATAATATATATTTAAATGCCCCAACCTTTGGAAGAAAATATAACGCAGGCAAAATTCTTACCCATGTCAAGCCCTGTCCCCTGTTAGAGAAAGAAGCATCATATTAATGCCATCAATTATCACCAAGTTAAAATTCTTCCATACTTGGATGGAGAGAAAGTATGAGAATGATTCTTTCAGCAGTAGAAGCAACCAAACTCAACAAGAGAATTAGAAATTAAAGAACCAGAAGACAGCAAACAAATTATCCCCTTATTCTGTCTCTGTCACTCTCTATTTATTTCCTTCACAGTTTTCAAATACTTTTTAATTTCTGTCAGATTACTTATTTTCTTTCTGCCATTACTAGAACAAAATGCTCTAGTTCACTGACTGCTCAAAACCCTGAACAGCACAAAGCAGTACTAAGTATCTATCTGCTCAGTGAGTGAATAAATAAATGAGTGAATAACTGAACGAGTGAGAATAAAACAGAAATAAGTGAATAAATTATTTCAAACTTAATTATCAAAGTTTATGAAGTAGAGTTAGTACTACTTGGCCCAAGAGAATAAAGGCAACTTAAAAACAAAAATCAGAACAGTTTTATCAAGAATAAAACAAGATCAAATTTTCAATAAAAAAGAATACAGTTAAATTTAAGGAAAAATTTTTACCAATATGAGCTCCTTGAGAGCTATGCCTCTATCTTACACATCTTTTAATATCCTGTGCCTATCATAGTAAATGACAAAGAGTAGAAATGCAATAAATTTTTAGAGAATGGATGAATAAATGAGTTTATTAAACATTCTCATGAACTTAAACTCCTCATAGGCTTTAATTTAAAAATACCTGCCTCCCCCATTTAACTTAGATAATATACTTCTCTAAAGGATTAAAGTAATAATTACAAAAGTATTTTAAAAAATTAAATCATCAAATATGACCACAAAAAGAAAGCCAGCTAGGGTAGCTATCAATATTTAAATCCCTTCTCTGCTTCCTCCACTGAGTTTCTCTCGAAAATTTTCAGTGACAGAGAATTCAAGCTGGGGCATCGCAGTCTTTAAATTCTGAAAGCTCTGATACAAAGTTCCTCCTTTAATGAAACCCAAGTCTAACTTCCCATAACTGCATCTACTTGGCCAAACAGGAAGTCTATTTCATAGGACGGAACTTTGAACGTGGGAACACGGCTGACAATGACTTCCAACGAGTACCGAATATCTGTACATCCTCAGCGCAAATCCCAATTTATCCCTTTCTTTTTCAAGGTGCCCAGAATGTTCCAGATATAGTCTGACCTATCCTAATTAGAATTATTCCATTTAACCCAGACTATCGTCTTTCATATGCTATATGTGATCAGTGCCTCCATAGATCACATTTCCCTTTTGATGGCTATATCGAGATTTCTATCTACTAATGTCTTCAAGTCTTATTCAGTCCCACCCAGCCTTGTTCCTACATCCAATCCTGCATATACAGTCTATTATTACAGCTCACATGCAACTCTTGACGTTAGACCAGGGATAATTCATCTTGTTAGAGTCTGTCCAGAGATTTAATCCTTCGGGATATCTAATTCCGATGAGCATATCTTTACATTTTGACCAATTAATTATGTTAAGCAGAAAACCCATTAAGAACCTCCATTCGAGCTGAGAAAGTCCATTATTTCAGTTCCATTACATTCTATAACTTTGGGAGAAGGGAGAAGTTTAATGGGTGGCCAAGTCTATTAAGCCGAGAAAAGATTACTATAAGATTTGTTCCTTCCACTTAAATGAAAAGAGCTAGCTTATACCTGTCTCTTTTTGCTGGATGCCTGGCTTATTTTATATATTAGATTGACTATCATACTTGTGACTTTATAAACATAACCAATGCAGCTGATCATTTCATAGGTTATCGCAGATACGGTGAGTCATCAAACATGACTTTAAAAAGAACTCTTTCTTAAAAAGGCTATGTAATTTTCTACTTGCAGCATTAAAATAGTCATTTCGTTTATAGCAGCTACTAAGCACCACTTTAGAATTAAGATTACATCAAATTGAATGGAGCTGAACTTTAATTTATCATATTAATTTTCATCCTTAAAGTAGCTAATGGAAAATTATGTCAAGCTAATAAATTTCCTGATAAATTTAATTTCTTAGGATTTGTCATTATTGTGTGGCATTTCCTAGATCAATAGTTTTCTTTATATCTTGAGAATTAAGGTTGCTACAGAACTGGACACCCAACTAGTGGAGGACACTTGTCATAATCCTGTATACTTTACATATAAATATGTTTATATAAGTAATGTATACATTTATCGTATATATTTGATCACATAGTATATATTTATATCTCCTATATGCATATATAAGATGTACATATATTTCTAACTTACTGTAACTTTTAAAGCTACTCTACAGGTAAATGTACTTCGACTCAATAGCACAGATGCCTCTGACACTCCTGAAACAGGACCCCTTGACCAGTATAGATGAAAACATAGGTTCTCAGAAACTTCTTTGGTTCAGATGCCTAAGTATCCTGTATTCCTCCTGTAATATAGGATTATTTAGCCTCTGCCTGAAACAGCCCTGGTGAGAAGGATTTCATTATTTCACGGCACAATCCATCTACTTCCAGAAGCTTTCTTTGTGATCTATGTTTATAAAATTTTTAATCAGGGGTGTCTAATAAAATGGCTTCCTAAAATCTCCACATCTCTCTCTCTCTCTTTTTAAAGGCATTTCTTCCCATCAGTCATTTTCTATAGAGTATTAATCTAGCTAACTTCACGTCATCACTCTAGTTTGAATGTAAGCATCTCAGAATGTTTGCAAATTGGTTTTAAGATAATATTTTGTTTCAGTGTCAAAAGTTTAGGAGACATTTTATTAGAACCCAGAAGCCCATTAAATTTCAGATTTGGCTAATACTCTAATTTAGGTTATTGGCACAAATCTGATACTATTTGGACACAGTAAAAAGTTCAATAATCACAGACACTGTCAAATGGTTCAATGTTCTTGACTGTCTTTTTTACCAGGTAAGCTCTGAGAATTGCAATTTTAACAATAATTAAATTGATATACATAAATCTAAAGAAATGGTGTTACAATTACATAAACCTTTAAAATAGATACCTTATTCAGAGTCAAGGTTTTTCTTTGTCAATAAGTTCAGTGACTAATTACAACACTAAGCGGCATTGCTTTTTAAAGGCAAACTTATTTTTCCCAGGGCACATATTCTACTAAAGATAACACATATTAACAAGGTAAGCAATAACCTATTCTGGCAAAAATAAAATAAAATAAAATAAATTCAAAAATACACGAAATGGATTATTTTTCATGTGGAATTCTGTATTGCACATATCTGTGTATTATAGACCTATTCATGCTATAAAAGGTCAGGAACATTGTGTACTTTCAAAGCAACGAACATGTAAATATCTGAAAATGTTACCTTCCCAAGTATAAAAGCATAAAAATAATAGATTTTTAAATTTTTTCTTCTTTGTTGCATAATCATTGTTTGTCACATTTTGAGTGTTGTGTTATAATTATTTGCTTTATAAAGTAGCCAGTATTATCAGCAAGTGGCTACATGACCAGATGCGGACAGCCAAAAAAAAGGGAGAGAGCATCAGTCATGATCAGCCATGCAGAACATTGACATCACGTATTTTTAGCCTCATGTTGCACAGTTGAGATTAGCTTACTGCCAAGTTGGGTACACGGCGGACATTTAAATTTGTAATAATGAAGTACTTAGAGATATTCTGCAATATTTATGAATATTGCAAGGATATTGCAAGGATAACTATGCTTGGTATTTTTGGAGAGCAATCTATTTTCAAGTTATTTTACAATTATCTAGGTATCCTCTACTTAAAAGTAAAAAAAAGACCTAAGTAAAGAAGGAAACTCGTTTAATAATAATAATAATAATAATAATAATAATAGATAGAAATGGTAAGAAAGAAGCGGTACAGTGTGTGGTTAAGAAACTAGACTCTGGAACCAGACAAACTGTGTTCATGTGCTGGCTCAGCCATTTATTGGCTGTGTGACCTACGGCAAGTTACCTAACCTCTCTGTGCTTCAGGCTCTACATCTCCAAAATGGGGATATCTCATAGATTGGCTAGGAGGATTAAATGACATAAATATATATAAAATGCACTGAATAGCACCTAACATATAGTAAGCATTTCTGTGTGTTTACTGTTATTATTAACCTAAAACGTAGCACGAAGAATGTAAACTATGTAAAAGGAAACATTTCCTTGGAAAGAAAATCAACGAATTAGATAAAAATCCATTTCACGAGTATTTCCTAAACATTTCCTATGTGCCAGGGATTGTTCTAAGCAGAGGGTACAGAAGAGGACAAGACAGATGAGGCCCCTGCTCTCATGTCACTTAGGAAGACAAGGAACAGATTAATGAAGTTTAAAAAAATCAGATCGTGCTATGAAGAAAACAAAACAATAAGAGGAATGAGAAAGGTGAAATATTCTATTTCGAAATTCCATTTTAAGAAATAGGACAAATTAAATGCATTAAGTATTCCTTATGTGCTGGTGTACTATAAAGGTAAAATCACCCTTGAAGTCTTATGGATTCAAAACGAGTTTACACGATGACAGTTGCTAAGTTTGTAACCTGCAACCACTAAAATGGCCACTTCCACTTGATGGAGGCTCTTTTTGGTAGCCTGAGATATTCCAAATAGAAAAAAAAAAAAAATCCACAGAGAAGGAAATTCAGGAACCACTTGTCTAATTGATGGAGCACAGACATGTGGATCCTCAATCTAACCATTAACTCTTTGTGTGACTTTTAATAAGCTGCTGGAATGTTCTCCACTAGAAATCGCACATTAAATCAGAGACTACTTTAATATTTGCTATAAGATTTCAATCTAAATGAACTGTTTAAATAAGATTAAATTTTGTTCTATTAATAGCTGTGATTGAGATTAGGAAAAACAGTATTATGTGACTAACATAAACTTGCTTATGCTTTCCATTTTCTGCAACTCCACCAGTGACTACTAACAGGCCATGAATCACTTGCTTCCATCCTTAATTCGGTATGTAGTACCCAAGATATACAACTTTTTAAATAATTTATATTAGGTTATATATTTTATCCACATAGTTATACAACAATTCAAAACCACACCTCACTCTGAAGCTGCGTAACTTCTCTTGCAAAGACGCTGTCAATTGTGGCTGGCATCCGCTTATAAAGAGAATTGGAAAGGTCCGCCTTAATGGTGCCTTTGTATTTTGCCTGGGGGGGAAGAAAAAAAATAAACATTTCTCTCTTTTACTGTAAATATTGAAAGAGAATTTTTAAAAAAGCTTTCTTCAGAAACAGAATTAATTAAAAATTCTGAAGACTATTTAATCTTAGATACTGGATCTGGCAAACCTATTTTGAAGAAATATAAAACCAATTTATCACAGAGCAATCTTTAAATGAGACTTTCAGGAAAAAAAAGTGACTATTTTTTCTATTTAAACCTATGTACATTTCTAAATGTAAATCTATTTGTGTGTACTGAGAGTTTCATGTTTGATCATTGAAGAAAAGTCTAAAAGCAATGAAACATTTGAGTTGCTCCAGAAAATATGAGTAGTTAGAACATACTATCTAGAACCTGTGCAAAGGACGGTTGCTTTTTTCAATTCTTCTTAACCTCCTTCTATCACGATAGGGGATGGATTGCTTTTTTGCTCCTCCTGCGCCTTCCCATGTCCAATCTGCACTGTCCCTAAGTGATCTCAATCTTTACTATAAAGAGAAACACACATTCACCATTTTCACTTGGGAAGATTAGGTTCGAAGTAACACAACAGATTGCATACTTTTTTTTTTTTTTCTCTGCAGTTAACTCCTTCAGGCAAATGAACCAATTAATAATTAAGAACATCAAGAATTTCTCTGCACAGGAGAAGTAACAGCTAACACAAATAAACAAAACGGTGTTTTTTCACACTCTGTCGACAAGTCTCTGATATGACTCCCATTCAAAGCTAGATTTAAGCACTGATTTATTGAGCATGTGTCCTGTATAAACCTTGGATTCCCACAAGGATTTGGGTACTTAATAAAAGGAAATTTGAGTACATAACAAAAGGACATTTACCAATTTGCCTCACAATTTTTTCACATTAGCAAAAAAAATTCTGAGAAATATTATGTTGATTTTTTTCCAACATATGAAACACTAGAGGTCAGTCGTTTACACTATTTTATTCATTCTCTTGTCAAGTTTATCTTCTCTAAGTGATCTATTCACAGACTGCAGAAATGCCTTATCACAGAAATCGCCATAACAGTTTTTCAATGCAACACATATTGTGGTCCTAAATACTCTCAGAAAGAGACTATATGATTTTTCAGCTGGAAAATAAATGTAGTACCTTTCTCACTCTTTGATTTCAAAATAGGTATCTCTGTTGAACTGATTCTACTCAAAAATAGTTTAAATCGATTTAGAATTATTTACCAAAAATGTCACATTTTATGGAATCAGTTGTTAAATTTAATATATTTTCAAAAGGATATTCGATAACATAACTAATAAGTCTGTTAGGAAATAAAATAATGGGACTTCTAAGACTATCTTGCCAGTACTTTCTACTTATTGAATAAAATAAGTAGAATTACTCTTGAAAAGAGTAATTCTATGTAAATGGGAAAGGGTTGGAGTCAAAATATAGACATATATAATATAATATATCCACCACAGACAGTAAAAGGTCATATTACATGAATTAATTGATAGTACATACAATTACATAACTGTATAGATACCACCAACATTTAGTGATGCTTTCAAAAATATTATTCTCTAATGCACAGACTTTAACCTACATAAATAGAAAAAGAAAATGCAAGCCATTTTGAAGTTTTTGATGCCTTACCTCAGAAATAAAAGCACCAATATTTTTTACGTGGTTTAGCATAGGAGTGTCCGTCACAAATGTACACTTGTCCTTAGATTTTTTATATTCTTCTTTATAATGGATCTAAAAGAGAACAGTTCACATGAGAAGAGAAAGAAGATAAACAGTTGAATGCTCTGTGTTTTGAATAGAAAAATTAACTTGAGAAAGTCCATTTTCTGAAGTAAATACTCAAATGTGGAATGATGCTCAAAACAGCCAAATCAAATAAACATACCCAGCACAAATTTGTAAAAGCAGTAAGGCATAATAAAGAAATCCTCTTCCTTAGATAAGCAAAGGTCCAGTTAGCATCAAGAATCACATGTATTGGACCCACAATGATTATGGGGTCCTGTTGCCCAGTTTGTCCAGAATAATTATTAAATATTCTCCATTTAACTCTCACAAGTATACTGGTTTACTGTTACTTTTAAGCCACTGACCTTAGCTGTTAAACCTGTGGTCAAACAAATATAGCTGCCTACCTCTAGGTTGAAAACAAGTAGTCATCAAGACAGATGGAACCATTTAAGAAGTAGAAGCAGAAATTAAACAAATAGAGATCACTATCAGCATCATCACCTAGACACGCCAGATTAGAGGAAGGAGCTTAATTGTTGCTGTGATGGGCTTCCTGCTACTAATTAATTCCCCTCAAATCAAGCTTACTCAATTTATGAGCACGCATAGGTCTCCCACCCTCCTCACCTCCCCCAACAAGAGTGCCCAGAGAGCTTGCCGCATGTTTGAGACCATCCCACAATGTCTCCCTGCTGTGAGTAAGCAGATGAGCAAGAAAAAGGTCAGTGAGGCTTTGCTGAAGATGCTCATTTGTCCTCTGGAACTCACTAGTAAAATGAGTCATCCTTTCTCCCTGGGGAAGGGCCAGAATTGTTATTCTGGATAAAGACGCCACATGGACACAAGAGCCAAAAAGAAGCCAGGCACTATGGAGAAGGGCCTGAAATGTCATCTCACTGTTACACTAACTACAGCCCAATCTGAAAACTGGGGTGGAGGGGAGGGATTTACGACTAGTTGAAAGGATGACGGTAATCTGCTGATAGTAAATATCAACCTGTAATAAGGTCGTGTTTATCAACCCAAGACTGTAACTACTTAAGCTGAAGAAAATGTCCCAGTTCAGATGAGAAATTACATGGTCTCCCTAATTATAACCTAAAAGTGAAGTTTAATTCAATATACTACCTGGTTTTTAAAGGACACAACTAATACTGATGTTTCACACAAACATTTCATAGGGATTTCACCCTATGCAAACCCGATTTTGAGGGGCATTTTTTGACTGTAACCAGATATGAATATATTAAATAACCTTATTTCAAAATACCATATTTCGCTGCAGTGACTCTTAGATATTACATACCTACCACATTAAACATTTGCTTTATTCATGAAATCAACATTAGAACATATTTATCTTATCTGAGCACTAAATGACTTTTTTCCCTTCTAGAGATTAGCTATAATTTTAGGTCTCTGCAAATCACCCTCCTCAGTCACTAGTAATTAAACTGTTAATGGCAGTATGATAAATAGTGGGCTATTTTGATCATAAGGAGGAAAAGAGAAGTGTCTCTGTTATATAATTAAGTGCGAGAGAAAATAACCTATCATTAGGCTTAAGTCTGCCTCATTATTTTTATCTTTTGCCACCACCCTTTCCCTATCACATTCTCACTGTTTGCTGCAGTGGTACGTGCTATGGCCACAAGACCCCTGATAAGCTCTGTCCTGAGCAGAACATTCAGGACAGGAGCACAGGATAAGGGTAAAGGAGTTACTTCCTTTGCTATGCAAGCAAATAGCTCAGTCTGAAGTGTGGTATCCATGCCTTTCTTTGGTCTTTAGTTAAAAGAGAGATATACGTACACACGCACAAATATGTTTCTAATTTCTCATGAATTATACTATATGAATGATAGACAATAAGCTAATGAGCTGAAATTTTTATACAAAAAAATGTCACATATTAGTAGCTTTCCTATACCAGGAAAAGATAAATGAAAGAAAACTGTACCAATGACTGACACACAATCTTCAGTAAAATAAAAAACACTGAGTAGACAGCCATCTCCTAATACAACCTATCTATTGAGTAGATTGCCTATCCTTCCCCCTTTCCTATCACAAAACCCGAATGTATTTATGAGATTAGCAAGGCCCCTACCCTAGCCCCAGAGGACAAATTCCTCTAAACCAAGCATGGTTTTCTTATTCCTCTCGGCCAATGATTGGCCTGGGGAAGCCAGGAGCCCAGCTCTGGCCATGAGACATGAGTGGAGTCTTCCCAGCAGGATTCTGGTATTTCTGTCATAAAGGCAGACAGCTGCTGGCACAGCCCTGGGACACTTTGCAGGGCATCGCACTTCCGCCTTTTTCCATTCCCAAGAATCACAGGGATACAGAAGCAATGATGTCATCATAGGCAATACGGACCATACTGAGGATGACAGAGCCCAAGGAAAGGAACCTGAGAGTCTGACAGCCTCCACTCTGCCATAACTGGACCCCCAACCTCCAGGCTTCATGTGTAAAAAAAAAAAAAAAAAAAAAAAAAACCTATTTGTCAAACGTCTGTGCTGGGGTTTTCCTGTTACTTGCAGCCATTTGTCCTTATAACCAATACACCATCCAAGTTATTTCCTGATTGAGAACAAAAGGGGGAAGTTGATAACTTAATGATCATTAAGATGCCACAGATATTTACTTTCTGCTTTGACCTCACCCATGAATCCCACCATGTCTCAACTACACTGAGAGTTAAATTAGTTCGGTGGCGGTGGCCCTTCCTCCTCCTCGCCTAGTTTTTTGTTTTTGTTTTTGACACTTAGTAGGAGATTTAGCTAATGGCTGAAAGTGGGTGGCAGTTGTAAAAATGTTTGAGGATATTTCTTTTTATAAGCACTCTTAACCAAAAGTACCCAGAAAGTCTTTTCACAAATGGAGCCATATTGGTTCAATGCAGTAAACCCTGGAAGAAAGAACCGTACTTCACGCTAACTGAGTACTTGGAGCCGAGGCTGTTCTCCCAGGTCCTCTAACACAGTCAGAGCTTTCCCTGGAGGGGTAACCACAAATCTAATGTTTTCAGCATTGGAAAGATTTACCCACAGCAAACGATGCTCATCTGCCTGGAAAAAAAATGTCCTTTCTGCTCCACGCACATGAACACCCTAAAAAGGCTTGAACCAAAACATTGAGTCAGAGGCTTCATGCAGATGTGGCCAAAACTGCTCTGCAGAAGAATTTATACTTAATTAACAGAAACGTATAAAAGGTCCCCTTTAACCGAATATTTTTATAACCATCTGAGAAAAAGCTACTACATCCGTGATTCTGACTGCTCAATAGAGTCGATAGATATGATTTATTTAAGAGATTGATTAGATAGCTGGCTAACAGGATAAAATAACGCAGAGAGGCTATCTGGAGAAATAAAAAGCATGATTTTTGGTTAACAGAAAAATAAGAGAGGCTGCGTCCGAGGACCAGGTGTCCTCTAGACTGGGAAGTGACTTATGCAGAGGGAAACCCCACAATATGGGCAGGGCACTTGCAAACCAGAAACTAGGTGAAGCAAAGAAAGACTAAAAAATGCCTCGTACTGATCTCTGAAGTGAAGCCACCTGGCCTGAAAAATGGAGAGTTCTATACAGTGCAGGCTTCCCAGGACATCCCTCTGGATCAAACTTAACATTTTAATAAATTATCCTGCAAGGGCGTGATACCGCAAGGTCCACAGGCCTGCTGCTGACCCCGAGCGCTCAGGGAGAGGGAAACTGAAAGAATTGAACTGGGGAAGCTCTCAGAGGGCCGAGGGCAGATAAAACAGATGGCAGTCATCCCTAGCACGGTGAAAATCATTCAAACTGCTACTAAAAGATCAGCTACAAGTCAGGAATTAGGACTGCCAATGGCTGAGCATGATGTCCAAAAATGAGGTTGCTCTAACAGCTCTCTGCAGCCCCCAAGCCCAGGAAACTCTGAATATCATCACAAAGGGTTCAGGGACAAAAGGAAACACCGTCCCACCCTACTCACAGCCACAGGCCATCCACATCTGGACTGCTGTGCACAGATCTGGTCATTACACCCCCTAAAAAGGCATGAAAGCTAGAAGAGGCCCAAAGAGAGACAGAAGGATGATGAGGGGGATGTAGAAGGGCTGCTCCGTGAAGAGAAACCCTTAAAGCTACTCTTCTTATCTCGTAAAATGGAACAGAGTGACGAATGGCTACGTCGGGCTCTGGACTTAGCTGGACCTAAGTCTGAATTTTGTCCCCACCCCTGACTAGCCAGGTGGCCTTGGGAAGCTACTCAGCCTCGGGTTGCACCAGCTCTGAACTGAGGCTCAGAGAGCCTGTGCCAATGCTTCGTGTGGCACAGAAGACAACCATGCATGGCACACAAGAGAGGAAGACATCATGGTGGCTGAGGCATAGAGTCAGACAGACCTTGTTTCACATCCCAGGTCTGTGGCTCACTAGCTGTGTGGTTTGATCAACAGAATGTGAGGCTGCTTCTTAAAGCTTCAGGACGTAGGAATACTGAGCGGGCCAACAATACACCACGTCCTCTTGGTGACGTAGGCTGCAAACAGATCGTCTTCAGACAAATACAAAGGCTCAGGTAAAACACACAGGTGCCCCTTCAGAATATAATGAATTAGAAAACGAAAGTAAGGGGCTTGAAGGTTCGTCTTTAAATTGAAGTTTGAGACCAGGGAAAAGACTGGTGCGGGGCTAAGAGAGGGCTTTGTGTTCAAATGCTACTCCCCGCTGCTTATCTGTGTGACCCAGGCAGGTGACTCAGCCTCTCTGAGCCTTTACTTCCTCACCTCTAAAATGGGAAAAACAATAGGATCTACCTCACAAGCTGCAATGCCTGGCAGGGGTATGATTCCCACCATCCTCTAGCTCTTCCTAACAAATCACAAGGCAACACAGAGTCATATGCAAAACGTGATTGGACGGGCACAAAAGTCATTTACAGACGTAGTAGGGAATAACTGCTAGCATGTCCTGAGTACTCACAATGTTCCAGTCTACTAAACACTTCATCTGCGTACCATTACTCAATCTTACTAGTCCGCATGTTGCCCTTGAGAAACTAAGCCCAGCCTGCCTTCCCAAGGTTACTGTTAAGTTGACTCATGCGAATTGACTTCAGAGAACTTGCCAGCACACCACTCCACTGCCTAGGATTGACTTCCCTTGAAAACAAACATTTGTAAAATATTCTGATCACATTGCTCATTAACCACCACCGAAATGCCCAGTATTGTGCTCACCTCTTCACAGGCACTTATTTGCTTTTCGTGAGCCATCTTTCTACTGTTCCAGCCATTCTCTTCCCACTGTTTTAGGATCATCTAAATTCTCATCGCTAGTGAGCGATATATTTCCTTGTGCTTCTAGTATTCTAATTCACTTATTTACTGTAAATATCTATAAATATGAGTTAATTCTATAATTCTAGGATCCCCTTGAAGAATAAAATAAACCAAGTCTAGTTCATGAAAAGAGTCACAACAAAAATGCTCCTTTTCACTAAAATCCTCCTCATCGTCTAGTTCAGGATTCTTAACACTCAGTTCAGTTATCCATGGATCCTAAATTGAAAATCAGCGTTATGTGCACATTGGCACTCTACCCATTTTTCTGGTTTGGAAAATGTATTCATGAGATTCCTTAAAAGGTTCCCAAAATGTTTTTTTTTTTTTTTAATTATTCTTTTAGACAGAGATCCTCCCCAAATTACAAAATTATGCAAATCGTAAAAGGCTTTGGGTTCTCGAAAGGAATATGCGCTGAATTCAATGCTTTACGATTTCATGTCAGAGTGACAGCAAAATCCGTGAGGCACAAGAGTAAGAACACAGACACCCGGTTCTGCAGAAATTTTCTTTATGGGTGACCTCGAGGAAATCACCTAAAATGTCTGGACTCAGTTCCATGATCTGGAAAATAATTGTGTTTTAATAGATGATGTCAGGATTTACTCTCCGGTTCTATGATTCTATGACATAATAGTGCCACACACACAACACAAAAATAAGACAAAAACTACTTAAGTCACTTACATCGCTAATGAGTTCAGTGCATTTTCTGGCCAGTTCCATGCTCAGGTCTTCAATAACAGGCTTAAAGAACACCTGTATGGAACGAAAGGGGAAAGAAAACGTATTTCTAATCAGCAACTTAGAGGAACAAATATCCTTCTTCAGTAGGTACCTGCCCACTCACCCTGTCTTCTTCATTTTCTTCTTCCTCTGTTTTTTCCTCTTCGGTTTCATCTTTTATATCCTCAAATACAGGGACCCTCATTTCTCTCTCTCTCTCACTCTCTCTCTCTCATATATATACACACACTCCTATACTTTTTAATTCTCCAAAGGAGTACTTTTTATGTACTGCAGCACCCTTGAGATCTCGGAGTCTGTAGTGTCCTGGCAGGAATGACCTTGCCCAGGCCACCTCCCTATTTAGCTCACACTTCACTCTCCTTATCACAGCTCTGTGTGAGTGGATGGAACAGGATCCCGGAGGTAGGCCAAAGCTAGCTTCCCAAGTGGAAATAACATTTTAACAGGCAAAATTCAATTTCATAAACTTGTAAAGTCAACGCTCTTTTAACTGGTTAAAAAATCCAGAGGAGACCGTTTATTTATATTTCACTAATTCGATTCCTTCATAAAAGAGCTTGAAAAAGACTTCAAAATTCTGGGGAAACTACTCAGCTATAACACTCAAGATAGCATAGCCCATGCCTGTTATCTCAAAGATTCTTCAGCTCCTTCTAAATAAAGCTTTCATTAGAATGTCAGCCAGAGCTCAGATTTGGTATTATGACTCTGAATCATTCAAACTCATTTCATTAACCTAAATTAAATTTTTTGAGACACATATGTACTTCTCACATTCTAAAAAATATATTAGCTGACTAAAGGCTAGTAATTTATTATGAAAAGCCCTTTGAACCCTTCAAAGAATCTATTCGGAGTTAATTATGACTGTTAATGCTATATTGCTATATTGTGTTAATTGTAAACATCATTAAACATGAAAAATTGCAGTTAACATAGGCTGATATATCAAAAGTTCTAGAAACATCATTGTTTCAGAAAATAATAATCATCCTTTTTCAATTTTGCCCATTGTGTCTATTTTTACAAATTCATTACTTATATATTCCTCGGTGTGTAATATGCACTTGAAAAAGTTTGGAAAAACAAACTATAACAATATTTATAATGTGGTAAACATCATTATTTATATAATTAAAAATATATTTCTCAAAACCAATCTTTTAATGTTAATTCAGGCAATTCTAAGACTCTATCCAGTTCATAATTTATCAATTTGGTTTTTAAATCCTAAGCTAAATTTATATTTATACAGCCATAGCATATCAGTATTAGACATAAAAAATACCCTATGGTGAATAATAAAACTAATTATATAACATACAATTTTATTCAAAATAATACAGCATTCTAAGTAGCCAAGTATAATGCTTTTTTCTCTTGATATCATATCTAGTTTTTAATTTATTTTTTAAATTACTTTGGCCTTCCTAAACTAAAAATTCTGACCAGAAAAATTCTACACTGTCACTGTGTTTAGATTATTTTTCAAATTGTTGTCCATGAGGCTGAATGAAGTTCCACAGAATAGTCTAGAGGGAGAAAGACTGTTTCTTAAATGAACATGTTGAAGGAAATCTGTACATGAATATCCACCCTTGCAACTTCGAGACCCACATGGCAAGGTGACACTAGGAGCTCTGAGAAGACCTACAACCTAGAAAAGTATTTAAGTTTGCTTAATCCAATCCATGAAATCCTATCCATCTAATCTAATCTAAACTATTTATCTACCTATCTACTTACCTGCCTACCTATTTTTAATGATATCTGATACTCCAGAAAACTAACATTCTTTTGTGAAACGTTTCTTAGGAAAGCACTGTTCTATTCTGAAAAAAAACGTGTTCCAGAGGAGTCGTTGGTCTTTGCATGAAACAGTATTTGATACAGGCTAACTTAATGGCATCACGTATCCTGCTTATAAGCAAAACACCCAAAAGAAATGTCCCAAGGGTGCCAAATTTGGAAAACTTGACTTTAAAATAACAGCGATGTCATGTCAATGTAGAGAATTCTACAAGGAAATTCTCTGTACGTTATATTTCTTCCCTAAAGGAGCACAATGTGTGGACTCTGATGGATTCCTCCAAGTCCTCTGCCAAAAGACTGTTCTAATATTCTAGAGAAGATCTATTGTATTATCTCTATTTGGGAATATGGAAGTTTACTTTTCTTGCAAACTTCTAGAAGTGTAGGGGGAAAATCTTGCCCCAGCTACCTAAAATGCACCTTTTAGCTAGTGTTTGAGGTGACAATACTTGTGTTGCTCATGGTGACATCTGTTCCCCATGGTGAATTACCTTCATCAGACTTCAACGGCTGCTTTACCTCATTTCCCATCATGTAATAAGTTCTTATTGGCTCTTCACTGTGCTGGGAAAAAAAAAATAATCTGTTGAGATTATGCACAAAAGTTTTGAAAGCAAAACCAAACACCATATGTAATGTGAACATAAATTTTCCTTCTGAGTTTTTTTCCATCAGAATTTTAAAGCCACAGAGATCCTTAAGAAATCAATTCTAGCAAAGCCCTCTCTTTTACAGAGGACGGAATTAAGGTCAAGAGAAATTAAATATTTGTCTTATTCACAAAGTTATTCAATGGAGCCTTAGAACCAGAATTGAGCTAGAGCCCTACATTCATGCCTTCGAATAAGCGTCGTTATGCCAGGCTCTGCGCTAGAGATGCAAGAGTGAGTAAAAAACATACTTAGTGCTAAGATAAGGTAGAAAATAAAAACCCATCGTTCAAGACTTGCTGGAGGAACTCCTTAATGGGTTGTTTGGCAAGCTAGATACATTATTACTTTTGATTGAATGCATTTTTCCTTTCACCTATAGGTATAATACAAAATTCATGTAGTTTTCTCTAAAACATTTTAAGCCCTGCACTTTATCACAGCAAAGCACTCTTGTCAATAGCTCCGAAATGTGACCTGGGGAATAAAAAGAAATTCTTCTCCATGGTTAGCTATCATGTTTCAAAATTCCCTATCATTCTCTCTCTCTCTCTCTTTTTTAAATCAAGTTAAATGTTGTATTTTAATCCATATTTTCACCTTGGGGCACCCCAAAAGGGAATATCTATATAGCTGCTAATCCCTTTTCCTTACTGAGCATTTCATTTTACATTTTCTACTTTTTGCTTTAGTATTCCGTCCATGCCCTGATTCAGAATGAGACAAAGGTGGAGATCACGTTACTTACAGCTAGACCCCTGCCCCCAGGCCTGGCTCTCCTACAACCTCTAGGGCAAATTATTGAATCTCTCTCTGCCTCTAATTCTCCATAGTTAAACGGAAAAACTGAATTGCCAGAAGTTAATAAAAGAAAAGCAGCTTAAAAATAGTAAAGGCCCTCACAAGAACAAGAGTTTTTAACTAGACAATAAAAGTACACAGTTTCAAGAAAAGCACTTGACACAAAAGGATCTTCTCATTTGAAAGGGTGAAACTCTATCCCATCGCTATGTTTTTAAAGGACAGAAGGGCCTCATATAGTATAACAGCTTAAAAATAAGAGCTAACGTGTGTGTTATGATACAGAGTCTTTGCTCTTTTTCGGGTTTGATGTTTATGTGTAAGCAATGTATTTCCATAGAAAACGCAGAGTCCAGAGTCGCTGAGGAAATTCAGGTCTTGGGGACACAGACCCTGGCCAGGGAAACACGTGAATGCCACCATCATGAGTCACAGAAGAATTGCTGTCTTCAGTCTTCTCAAGGTCACATGAGACAAGAGTCTCGTCGGTTCTGACAAATTTTTCATACTTATTTTGCTTTTTTCTCCTTTCTTTTCTTTACGGTGATAGAAAATGTGTTTTTCCTCGACATGGTGATAAGTGACTTACAAATGAAAATCTATAATGAACACTTGAAATAGATTGGGATTCAGTTCTAAGCTGAGAAAAACTTACAGACCTAAACTGAATGTTTCCATTTTAGAAATTCAGTCGACAGTCCTTACGACAAAATGTTCACCCCTAAATGGTTTGGCGAAAGAGGGAATAGTTCATATGACTTGGCTCCCATTTGACTTCCTCTTGGGACTCTTTTACATACTCATTTTCAGTTTCTTGGTTTTATTTATTTGTTTGTTTGTTTAGTTGGTTCGTTGGTTGCTTGGATGTTTTAATGGAGGATCATTTGTTTATAGTAACTATTCCCCCAGAAGGTTCTCGGTTGAATTCCTGGTTATTTTACTTTTGCTTCATATATTTCCTCATTGTTTGGCATCTGCCCAAAAGAGAACTTTACTAATAGATGAGGGGGAGAAATCATTTCTTAAAACAAGAAATGGAAGCTCGCTGACGCAATTCGTCTTCTTTATAAAAGAGAAGCATTCTGCTTAATATTAGCCTGATCTATTCTTACAATTTACATTCATTAAGCCTATCTTCTTCTTTTTAATGGCTATTTCATTACCGTTGTTAATTAGAAATCAAAAGAATACAAAGCAACCCAAATAACTGTCATCCTTACCAATTATGCCATTAATGTAAGATTTAATAGAGTGTTTTTCTGTATTCTTATTCCTGTTTTCACAAATATATATCCTATTCACAAATGAGTGTCCCCTAGGCTGGTATTGGAGGAGGAGAACAAGAAAATGCAAATAATTTTTGACACAATTTCGAGGTTGGGTGTGGTTGGGATACCAAAATTAAAAATACGTACTCTTTCAAATATATTGACAGAGAAGAAAAAATATTCTTATTCAGAGTTTACATTAACATAAGCATAACATTAACATAAGACTTTGATTTAATTTGCTACTTACTTAAGATTATTAGTTCAGTTTTAATAACAAGGAAGCTAATACCACAATCACTCTGTAATACTTCTAATGAAGAGAAAGAAGTCCAAGATTTGAGCAGTCTCTCTGTAGCTTGTAACCTGGAACAGAGGGTCAGGAGCTAACAAATAGCTTGGCTATCCCAAAAAGCATCTCTTTTTCTAGAGTTTTGTTGATGTGGGAAAAAACTGTGAAGACATTAAAACTGGCAAAAAAAAAATATATATATATATACACACATGCACATACATACATACGTACATACATACTTATGTGTTACCTTCTGCCTAATTTGGTTTTTCACTGCCTTTGAACTATTTTACAACTCCATAAATTATTGAAAACTGATAACAATGCTAATGTTGCTTTATGCAAATTAATTGTGTCCTAGGGAAAAGCAATTGATTATTGCCTTGCTGATAGACCTTTTCTGCATCTATTTGTAAATTCATTTCAGCAGTCCTTATTACTCATGTATGTGTGACTCTTCAAATTCACCTTTGAACCAATTTTAACATCTTACTGTTGCCCTCATTAATGAGTTAAAATCTTTGAAATGTGTTCATTTGGTTTCATGAGAATTATGATTTTACCATTTAAAAAAAAAATCTTTCAACAGATGCAAATGATTTAATCATTCTCATTTCTTTAACATTCAACAAAAATAGAAAAAGGGATGGCATTTTTCAATAAAGCCCAATTCTCTCCATTGTGAAATACAGCTATAACAGTTCTTGGTGTTTATTGAAATTAGCTTTTCATTTTGTTTTGTTTTCAGGTCTGACTCATCTGACTATTGGCAAATGCCACATGTGTGCTTGTATATATGTACATTCACACAACACACACACATACACACAACATACACACACACTCCAGCAGAGTTAATTCACCACAGATGCCAGTTCCCACTTGAAAAGCATACAAGGCTTCAGTAAAGGCAAAGACTTAATTACTTCTCACATCTGGAAAAACTTGAATATGAGAGTGGATTTATTGAAGAAGCTCTTTGCTTGACTGTCAACGCCTTATCAAGAGCCAGAGAGAGCGTGGGTTTGATCAATGCTGGCAATCCTTTAACCCTTCCAAGAGAGATGTTCTACTAATTAATTCATAACATGTCCTGCTTACATGATTTATGAATTTTATGAAAACACAGGAAAATAAATAATTTCCTAGCAACTTATAGAGAAAAGCTGTTTTTGTCATGTTTCCAGTGGATAAAATCGTAACTTAAAATTTGGAAATAATGAGGAAGTCCTTTACAGTCAAGGAAAAAAAAAAAGAAAAAGCTTTGGGAGTTGTAGAGCATATTGAAAACAGCCATTAGAACAATAACTTACGCAAATACATGCAAAACTAGACAGTTCGGCTGTGTATGGAGAAAGTGCAATAATGTTTCTAAAAGGGAAGTAAGGGAGTTATGCGAGCGAGAAGATTTAGAATGGAGAGAGACGAGGTTAGCAAAGCATCCGGCAACTGATGACCTCAGGGAGAGCTTTATGAAGTGGGTTTGAACCATGAACCCTTTACAAATAACACAGTTCCTGGACAATTAACTATGGAAACAGCGACTTTACACCTACCCTATGCCCTTCACATGCCTTGAATTTAACTTTTACCCCTTTACTTTATCATTAGTCAATTGAAATACTCATGTACCTGGACTTTATGAAAATTCATCATGAAAAAATTATTTCCAGGTTTATTAGTCTAATAAAGAAAACTAGTCAAAGGAAATTCATTTATGTGTATCCAAAAATAAATGGAATTTGCTAAATTTATAATAAAAATTCACACTTCTAGTTTTCTTCTATCATAATTTTATTATTGAAATGCACCTACTTTATCTAATTTTTATAAAGTGACATTAATATCTCTACTGGAACCTTAAGTGTCAGGATTTCTTCTACCCTGAAATCATAATTTCATCATAGTTTTAAGCCAGGGAAAACAACTGAACCAATGCTCACAAGTTCAGAACTTTTGAAGCATTGATTTCTGAGTCTTATTTCAATTGTTTCCACAGAGTTTTTTCATGTGTAACTCAAAATATAAGATGTCAAAATAGGATCATAATTAAATGTTTCATTAAAACAGCTATAAAGTTGGTGATGTTTTAAAATAATTGGTACTCTTTGAATAGTGCGAACTAGTTTAACATATATCGGTAGTAAATTCTCTGAGGACTCTGTCTTCTTTATTATTTAATTTGTGTGTGTATATCTATCTTCACCCATCTTCACAACAAAAAAGACTTGTGAAATCTCTACCCATCTCACCTATTTCAATCATACATTCGTTCATCAAATATTATCGACCATCTACTTTTATGCCTTTCACTGTACTATGCTTTGCTTCCCCAGTATATTTCGGCACTGAATATACATGAGATAGTCAATATTCACTTCTCTATTCAGTTAAAAATATTTATTTTCTTAGGCTATGACGAAATTTGTTGGACTGTCACAAGCTGCATTTTCAAGAAGGTAGCAGCATGTTTTAAAGAATTTCTATCAATGTTCAAGTAATTTTGTAGATATCGACTTTCTATTCTATTTTATATACTATTTCTATCTA